CAATGATAAATGGACTGTTTCCTTCTTTTTCTGAAAGCTTGTTGTTCTAATGTACAGAAATGTGAGAGATTTCTGTGTATTAATTTTGTCTACTGCAGCGTTATTGAATTCATCAATGAGCTCTAGCAGTTTTCTGATACATCTTTAGAATTAGTTATATACAACACTGCATCATCTGCAAACAATGACAGCTTTACCATTTCCTTTCAAATGTGGATTGGTTTGATTTCTTTTTCTTCTCTGATTACTATGGCTGGAAATTTCGAAATTAGGTTGAATAAAAGTGGTGAGATCTAGTTGGTTTAATGTGTCTTTTAATTTATTTTCTGTCTGGGTGATCTGTCCATTGATGTAGTTGGGGTGGTGAATATTCCCTTCCATACTGAGGTGCTCCTCTGTTGGGTGCATATGGATTTACAATTGCTATATCTTCTTTTTAAATGTAACCTTTGATCATTATTAGTGTCCTTTGTCTCTTGGAACAGTCTCCATTTTGAAGTCTACTTTGTCTCCTTTCCAGTCCGAATGACACAGCACCTGGAGCTGGGCTGGCGGTCCAATAAGAGACCCAAGGAAAAGGATCTGCAGGTGACTTAGGGCAAATTATAGTCTCCTTGCAGAGTATGTGGATGTGAGGGACGTCTGAGTGTTCTAAGGAGGGAGATACTGCCTTCAGAGTTGTGTTTCCAGATAAAACAGACCTGAGGCCTTAAATAGAAAAGATAGTGGAACTGAAACTCAGGGGAAGACCAGCCTCCAGATCACATGTTGATGATCAGTGTGAACACACTTTGGGAAACTTTGGAAAAGTAAGACCATGAAGGAAAATGCCCAACAGGAAACAGTGAAGGGAGCCCTGGTGCACTGTAAGTGTCCCTCCCCCAGTTATGACTTTCACTCTAAACTTGGGTTCTCCCACAGGGAACACAGAAAACTCTCCCTGCCCTCTGCTCAGCTGCCCATGTGGACCTTCTCAGTAATTGCCAGGAGTCGTCACTAGTCCCCAGACGTGGGTGAGGGTGAGGAGCACTGGGGGTAAGCTCTGCTCCTCCCTGGAGACGCCCCAGACTCTCCATGCAGACAGAGTCACCTCCGCTCCAGATGACAAGATAATGGCTCCTCTGTGGGGAGATCGGGCCCAGGGACCCTGTCCCTATAACTGGGGCCCATCCTGACTGATACTCCCTGTGGAGCCAAGTGCAGGCAGGTGAGTGCGCCCTTGTGTTCAGTCTCAGGGCAGGAAACGGGAGAGCAGGCTCTCCAGCAGGAGAGGCGCCCAGAGCCGTGTTGTCAGCACCTTGGGCAGGACAGGTGCTCCCCGGCCTCGTCCTGAGCTGCCCCGCCCGTGCCCTGGCTGGACGGGTGGACGGTGGGAATGTGCTGGGGTTGTATCTGAGTGGGATCAGCACCGTGAGTTCACGGCAAATCCTGTGTCCTGGGGCCCCTGAGAATGAGGGGGACAGGTAGGGGGTCACCGTGGATGGAATCTCTACCAAGTCCTGTGTGACCAGAGCAGCGAGCTTCTCAACTTTGTATAAAAGTGTCTACTGACCTCGGACCTAATTGATTAGGGTTGGGTGTGAATATGATGGAATAGGTTGATATGCAACAGTTTGGGTTAGAACCTGATAGTCCTGAAATAAGATCCAGTGACAGACACATACAGAAAGAAACACAGAGAGAAAGGCTGCCCTGTAACAACACCAACATTCTCCTTCACTGCATGAAGTCGGCCCAGTAATTTCTGCCATGATTTGCCTTCACAGTTCTCCCTGTGTTTTATGTTATGTATGTCAGTGTGGCTCATGTCTTCCTCTCTCTAACTGAATGGCAAAATGCCCTCAGCCTTATTACCATGAGCAGCAGGGGAAAGAAAAAAGAATCTGTATTGAGAGAGAATCCAGTTAACTTTCCAACCTGCCATAGTAGTGTAAACATTAGAAAATAAGCATTGTTAGATTTTTAAAAGATTGGAATTAGGAATTGAAGGAGTAGCCCCTGTGATGATTCAATGTTTTATATTTGGAAATACAGTGAAATGTACTCTGGGCCACGCCACAAGTTGATGTTTGTGTCCCACAAATATTCATATGTTGAAATCCTCTACCTTAAAGATGAGGGTGTTAGAAGAGCCTTAGGAGATGCTTATATTAAGTGGGAGGCCCTTTGTGAATAGGATTCCCACCTTGTCCAAACTGGGCTTCCGTGGTGACTCAGACGGTAAAGAAGCTGCCTGCAAGGCAGGAGACCCAGATCCAACCCCTGGGTCAGGAAGATGCCCTGGAGAAGGAAGCAGCTGCCCTCTCCAGAACTCTTGCCTGGAGAATCCCGTGGACAGAGAAGCCTGGAGGGCTACAGTTCCTGGGGTCGTGAAGAGTCGGACATGACTGATTAACTTTTCTTCACTACCTGTCCAAATTCACGGACACTTCCATGCCCGGGCTGGTCCGCCCACACCTGGGGTGCAGAGAGGCCCCCGGGGGCGGCAGGCACTAGAACGTGTGCTCCTGTCTCAGCACAGGGGCCCCTTCTGTGGGTTCACGTCTGACCCTGGCTGTGATGGTGCCTCCCCGGCTGTGACTGTTTGCGGCTGGGGGTCACGGGTCGTGTGGGGGCAGGTGTGTCCTCCAACTCTGGGTGATAACTATCGGTTTCAGGGAGGCACTTGCCCTGTGAGGTGATCGTTGTGTGGCCCACAAAATGGACAAGGACTAGCTATGGCCACATCACTTACCCCAGCAAATACTCAACCCAAGAGGAAAGAGGTGATGGGCCATAATCGATTACTGAAATGGCAGTGAGTCTAAAATGTACATCATGATTTAATATAAGTGCACATTGTGAAGGAGTCCGCAGTTGACTGAACTGGTGCATCCGTTGCCTCACATATTAGGTGTCATCACCTGTGGTCACCAGGTTCTACATTAACCCTCAGACCTTGTTCACCTTATAACTGAAAGATTGTACCCCGTTACCATCTTCTCCCCTTTCCCCCAACCCCAGTTCACAGGCAACCACCATTCAACTCTCTTTCTATGAGACTGATTTTCTTTTTTTTATGATTTTATCTATAATTGACAGAAATGGAGAAGGGAATGGCAGATATCTATGTCTGGATATTTCACACACCAAAGTGTCCTCAAGTTTTATCGATGCTGTTGCAAAAGGAAGGATTTCCACCTTTTAAAAACTGAGTTATACTCCTGTATAAAACGCCTCAGCTTCCTAATCTGTCCATCCATCCGTGGACACAGGCTGTTTCTACGTCTTGGCTCTTGTAACAATGCAGCAATGAACACAGGGGTCCAGAAAGTGCTTTGGGATCTTGATTTCATCCCCTTGTATATATATACTAGAAGCAGGACTGCTGGGTCGTATGGCAGATCTTGTTTTAGTTTCTGAGGAAATTTAACATTTTCCGCAGAGGCTGTACCCATTTACGTTCCCACCAACAGTGTGTAAGTGTTCCTTTTTCTCAACATCCCTGCCAATTTGTTACCTCTTGTCTTTTGGGGAACAGACACTAACAAGCGAGAGATGCTATCACATTGGGATTTTGATCTGATGACTAGAGATATTGAGCACCTGGCCCTTTGTTTGCTGTCTTTGGGAAAAAGTCTCTTTGAGTCCTTTGTACATTTTAAACTGGGTTTTGGGTTTTTCCATAAACTCTTTTTATATTTTGGATGTTTACTCATTACTGGGTATGTGGATTGCTAATACTGTCTCCTACTGCATAGCTGCCTTTTCATGGTTTCCTTTGCTCTGCTGAGGTCTTGTGTGATACACTCCTATTTGTTTACCTTTGCTTTTGTCGTTAAATTCAAACCATTATGACCAAGACCAGTGTCAAGGAGCTCACTTCTTTCCTCTCAGAGTTTCATGGTTTCAACTCTTACATCCCAGTCTTAGCCCAGTTGAAGCTATTTTTGTGTGTGATGTAAGATAGTCTGCAGCTTTTCTTGTAGTTTTTAAAATTGGGCCATAACTGACATAACATTCTATCAGAATCATGTGTATAAAATAATGATTCAGTATTTATCTATGCCACCAGTTGGTTACAGTAAGCCTAATTAACATCTCTTACACATGCATTACATTTTTTTCCATTCAGTCAGAATTTGGTAGGTTTTTGACGACCAGTTTCAGTCTTTAGATGTGGATGTTCAGTTTTCCAAACAGCACTTGTTGAAGGAACTATCCTTTTTCTGTTATATATTCTTGGTGCCTCTGTCAAAATTCAATTAACCAGTGGAACTTGGGTTTGTTTCTGCCTCTTTATTCTGCTCCATTGATCTGTCTGTTTAAATGCCCATACCATAGTGTTTCTGTTACTATAAATTTGACATACAGTTTGCAATAAAGAGGTTTCATGGTTTGTTGCTCTTTCTCAAGATTCTTTCACCATTTGGGTATTTTTTTGACTGCCTACAAATTTGTTAGTCTGTTATTTTTTTTCTGAGAATAATGACGTTGACAACGGTTGAACTAAGCCAACAATGTTGCTGAAGAAGGCAGACATGTTTCCAAAGTTGACAGACAGACCTTACATGGAGATAGGAGATCAGGATATAAAAGCAAATAGAAAGCTGTTGCACAAAACGCGGAGCTCAGCTCGGTGATGACCTCGAGGGGCACAGTTGGGAGACAGGGGAGGCTCAAGAGGAAGAGGATATATATTTATACACGTATACTTATATCTGACTCACACTGTTCTACAGCAGAAACTACCAAAACATTGTAAAGCAATTAGCCCCCAATTTAAAAAACTTAACTAAAAGTAAATTTAAAAATATAAAATAATAACGGTGGATGCTTTAACTGCTATCAGGAACATGTTATCCAGGTAAACTCATTTCTCTGGACTATGACAGACTCTTCTCTTTTCAGGAGAAGTGAAATGTGGGAATCCTTGTCCACTGTGAGTTACGTGAGAAGACTGCTGGTGTCTCTATCTGCAGAGTCTCTTGTCTGCTCCAGGCCACTCCGAAGTCCTCTCCATGTCTTTTCACAAAGATGCCCTGAGAACCATGAGCCAGGCAGCCCTGAAAACCACGTATCTGACACAGATAGGAGTTGGGGCTCTGGCCCATGCCATCCTTTTCTCCCGCAGCGTCTCTCCAGTCTTGCTTGGCCACAAGCAGAGACCAGCATACACGATTCTCACCCACATGGCCCTGTCCAATCTTTTGTTTCTTCTGTCCTCTGGAATTCCCCATATAATGACAGGTTTTGTTTTGAGAAACCCCCTGTCCAGTCTTGGGTGTAAATTTCTGTATTATATACAGAGGGTGACTCTCAGCACCGCCCTATGCTCCACCCGCGTCCTGAGCACCTATCAGGCCTTCACTCTCACCCCCAGGAGAGCGGAGTGGGTGATGCCCAGAGGAAGGGCCCCCAGGGTCACTGGTCCTTCCTGCTGCACCTGCGGGATGCTCTCTCTTAATATACATTCCTGTTCCTCTGAAAATCACTGGTCCTTGGCATAGATACAACAATACTGATTCTCAAGGCAAGTGATTCTGCTCAGCCTCAGACACTGTCACAGGCTTTGGCTACTTTTGGTTCATCTCTGATGTCATGTTTATTGGCCTCATGGTCTGGTCCAGTGGCTCCATGGTGTTTCTCCTGCTCAGACACTGCCAGAGGGTGCAGTATATTCACACCCCCACTGGGCACCGCAGATGCCCCCGGAGACCAGAGCCGCCCAAACCATCCTGATGCTCATGGTCACCTATGCCATCTTCTACCTGCTGAATTACAGTTTTGTTTTTCATATCAGTGCCTCTTCAGATTTCCGTCTGTGGTTGCTCCAGGTCTCTAATGTCTTGGCTTCTTGTTTCCCCACTATTTCCCTACTCCTGCTGCTCCTGAGGGCTGCTAGAACTCCTAGGTTCTGCTCTTGAGTTGTTAGAATGAACGGATAAAGTGCTAAATATCTAGTAGACACCTCCAATAATAATTGTACCTGTTCTGTAAGTACTCAGTATCATTCTTTGTTAATCTATGTACAATTATATTAATTTCAGATAGACAACATAATGAATGGATATTTGTGTCCAAAATGATCACAGTAAGTCTAGTTACCATCCCTCTACCTTCACAGATGATACGAATTATTTTCTTGTGATCAGAATTTTGCCACATTTATTTAGTTAGTTTTTGGTTATTATTTGGCTATGCAACATGTGGGATCTTAGTTCCCAGACCAGGGATTGAACCTGCACCCCTGCAGCAGAAGCTTGAAGTCTTAACCACTGGACTGCTAGGGAAGTCCCCATCAGAACTTTCAAGGTCAAGTCTCTTAGCATTTGTCAAGTATTCAATGATTATAATTGACTATATTCACCATGAGGTACATTATACCCCCTTGAGTTGTTTATTCTATAAGTTGATAGCTTTTGATGTTTGCACTCAATACGCTGGAGGAGGAAATGGCAACCCACTGCAATATTCTTGCCCGAAAAATCCCAGGGACTGTAGCCTACCAGGCTCCTCTGTCCATGGCATTGCAAAGGGTCGGATACGACTGAGCAGCTGAGCACTCAGTACATTTCTACATAAACTCCGTTGAATTGAAAAGGTTCATTGGATGCAGTGATGCCTTAGGAGAGCTGAAAATCCATCCATGAAATTATCTGCTTGAAAAACCTACCCACCATTATTGAGGAAACTATTTCCGTCTTGACCAATGCAGCCGTCTGAAGGAAACCTCCTTTCTCAGGAACATTTCAAGAGTTTCCACAAACTTTATCTCCATGTGTTGGGGCTAATACCCGACACACTGGTGCGCAATCCAATATAGGTCTCCGTAAATATGAGTCTTGTGCAGGTGAAGATCTGATTCCTGAGATGAAGAGAACACACAGGAAAATTTCCTGTATTGCCTGTAACTGTACTTCACTCTTAATTCGCCAGTATGCTGTAGTGTTACACAGAAAATCCATGTTGTTCAATGGCTTGCTTCTCCTTTAAACCTGGATTGTTTACATGGAGGATCCTCAATAAACTTAATTGATTAGATGAATCATGTAATCTGAAGGACAGACCAGAAGTTGCTTTTTTTAAAAAAAAAAAAATCTGTTCCTTGAAAATATAGTTTTCTTGATGGCATTTCGCAACCTTGCCTCGATGGCATTTTGAGATTTGTTTCTATTTGTCCAATCTATTTTTTCTGTTTGGCTTTTATTGCCATCTTTTTGGAGTGTAATTATTTAAGTCCCACTTTAAAACTTTAAGGTTTTAAGGTATAGCTATTTTTCAGTGATGTTTCAGCCGTCAAGTATGGATTCCCAAGTAGTGTCTCTTTCAAACCCACCTGCCAATGCAAGAGATGTAAGAGACGCAGCTTCGATTGCTGGGTGGAGAAGATCCCCTGGAAGAGGGCACAACAGCCCACTCCAGTGTTCTTGCCTGGAGAATCCCATGGCGGGCTGCAGTTCAGTAGGTCACGAAGAGTTGGACTTGACTGAAGCAACTCAGCATGCAGGCATATGTTATTACTGACAATTAATGCTATGACCTTTCTCTGTCATGAACTGGTTGTGTCTTATACAAAAAAAAGCAATGAAGAGGTATAGTTTATGCATGTATCAATATGATTACGTTTTCCAATGGTCGTAGTTCTTTTTTCTAAAGTGTTTTCCTCTTTGGTGTAACTTACCTTTTGTGTGAAGAATTTAAATTTGTTTTAATATGAGTGAGTTATTTCAATGTTTATCTAAAAGTACCGTTATTTTACTTACTGTTTTTCCTATTAAAGTGTATGAAAAGGTAATAAAATGTGACCAATAAGAAAAGTATACTTAGCGATAGACAATCTCCTTTTAAACACTAATGAGCTAAATGCCTATGACTTATTTTTAGTTTTAACATAATTGATTAGAAGCAATTTCAAATCTACTTCATTTTTCACACTGTTGTATATCAATAGATAACTAATAAGGACCTACTATATAAAAAGCACAGAGCTGGTGGCCGCCCTGCCCACAGGGCACAGTAGGATGGGGGTTCCCGAACGAACGTGAGTCAGCTGAACTGAAATGGATGAAGCCAGAGCCTGCTGAACAGAGGAGGTCAGAAAGAGAGAAAGAAACATCGTGCATTAGCACAGACACATGGCACAGACGAGCCTGTTTCCGGGCAGGAACAGAGTTGCAGACGTAGAGAGCAGACTTGTGGGCAGGCAGGGTGGGGAGAAGCTGGACGACTTCAGGGAGCAGCGCTGACACAGGCACTCGCCCCCGCGTGTCAGCCAGCCAGTGGGAGGCCGCTATCTACCGCAGGGGGCTCAGGCCAGCGCTCTGTGGTGACCTAGAGCAGGGGCGGGGCGGGGAGTGGGGGAGGGGAGGGAGTGGGGGAGGGGGAGGGAGTGGGGGGAGAGGAGGGGGGGAGGAGGGAGTGGGGGGAGAGTAGGGAGTGGGGGGAGGAGGGAGTGGGGGAGGGGGAGGGAGTGGGGGAGAGGAGGGAGTGGGGGGAGGGGGAGGGAGTGGGGGGGAGGAGGGAGTGGGGGAGGGGGAGGGAGTGGGGGGGAGGAGGGAGTGGGGGAGGGGGAGGGAGTGGGGGGAGAGGAGGGGGGAGGAGGGAGTGGGGGAGAGGAGGGAGTGGGGGGAGGAGGGAGTGGGGGAGGGGGAGGGAGTGGGGGAGAGGAGGGAGTGGGGGGAGAGGAGGGAGTGGGGGGGAGGAGGGAGTGGGGGAGGGGGAGGGAGTGGGGGGAGAGGAGGGGGGAGGAGGGAGTGGGGGAGAGGAGGGAGTGGGGGGGAGGAGGGAGTGGGGGAGGGGGAGGGAGTGGGGGAGAGGAGGGAGTGGGGGAGGGGGAGGGAGTGGGGGGAGGGGGAGGGAGTGGGGGGGAGGAGGGAGTGGGGGAGGGGGAGGGAGTGGGGGGAGAGGAGGGGGGAGGAGGGAGTGGGGGAGAGGAGGGAGTGGGGGGAGGAGGGAGTGGGGGAGGGGGAGGGAGTGGGGGGAGGGGGAGGGAGTGGGGGGGAGGAGGGAGTGGGGGAGGGGGAGGGAGTGGGGGGAGAGGAGGGGGGAGGAGGGAGTGGGGGAGAGGAGGGAGTGGGGGGAGGAGGGAGTGGGGGAGGGGGAGGGAGTGGGGGAGAGGAGGGAGTGGGGGGAGAGGAGGGAGTGGGGGGGAGGAGGGAGTGGGGGAGGGGGAGGGAGTGGGGGAGAGGAGGGAGTGGGGGGAGAGGAGGGAGTGGGGGGGAGGAGGGAGTGGGGGGAGGAGGGGGGGAGGATGGAGTGGGGGAGAGGAGGGAGTGGGGGGAGAGGAGGGGGGAGGGGGAGGGAGTGGGGGAGGGGGAGGGAGTGGGGGGAGGGGGAGGGAGTGGGGGGGAGGAGGGAGTGGGGGAGGGGGAGGGAGTGGGGGGAGAGGAGGGGGGAGGAGGGAGTGGGGGAGAGGAGGGAGTGGGGGGAGGAGGGAGTGGGGGAGGGGGAGGGAGTGGGGGAGGGGGAGGGAGTGGGGGGGAGAGGAGGGAGTGGGGGGAGGAGGGAGTGGGGGGAGGAGGGGGGGAGGATGGAGTGGGGGGGAGAGGAGGGAGTGGGGGAGGGGGAGGGAGTGGGGGGAGAGGAGGGGGGAGGGGGAGGGAGTGGGGGAGGGGGGAGGAGGGAGTGGGGGAGGGGGGAGGAGGGAGTGGGGGGAGGGGGAGGGAGTGGGGGGAGAGGAGGGGGGGAGGGGGAGGGAGTGGGGGAGGGGGAGGGAGTGGGGGGAGAGGAGGGGGGAGGGGGAGGGAGTGGGGGGAGAGGAGGGGGGGAGGAGGGAGTGGGGGAGGGGGAGGGAGTGGGGGAGGGGGAGGGAGTGGGGGAGGAGGAGGGAGTGGGGGAGGGGGAGGGAGTGGGGGAGGGGGAGGGAGTGGGGGGAGAGTAGGGAGTGGGGGGAGGAGGGAGTGGGGGAGGGGGAGGGAGTGGGGGAGAGGAGGGGGGGAGGAGGGAGTGGGGGAGAGGAGGGAGTGGGGGAGGGGGAGGGAGTGGGGGAGGGGGAGGGAGTGGGGGGAGAGGAGGGGGGAGGGGGAGGGAGTGGGGGGAGAGGAGGGGGGGAGGAGGGAGTGGGGGAGGGGGAGGGAGTGGGGGAGGGGGAGGGAGTGGGGGAGAGGAGGGAGTGGGGGAGGAGGAGGGAGTGGGGGGAGGGGGAGGGAGTGGGGGAGGGGGAGGGAGTGGGGGGAGAGTAGGGAGTGGGGGGAGGAGGGAGTGGGGGAGGGGGAGGGAGTGGGGGAGAGGAGGGGGGGAGGAGGGAGTGGGGGAGGGGGAGGGAGTGGGGGAGGGGGAGGGAGTGGGGGAGGAGGAGGGAGTGGGGGGA